AAGGCCAGTCTAATAACAGAATCATAGAATTGTAGAGTTGGAAGGGTCAAAAAGAGTCATCTAGGGTTGGGCTAGATGACTCTTTTTGTCCCTTCCAACTCTACAATTCTATGATTCTGTTATTAGACTGGCCTTTGGCCTGATCCTGCAGGGCCCATCTTTAGGCTCTTTTTATTCCCTGCGTGCCTATTTCAGTTGAATGTAACTTCCCCCACCTTACAGCTTATTCTGAAACTAAAATCAGGAAACCAGGACACCGTTTGGGGGGGCGGGGGGGCAATCAAGGGGGGGAAATTCCACAAAGCATCTTCTCTCAAAAACAGACGCCTACTGTATTTTAAAGTGACATGGCAGACATACTAATCTCTCCTACTAACCCCCACAAAGGTTTCAAGGAACATAAACAGGAAACACCCTTATGTGCAAACTGAAATGCTTTCAACTTGTCTTTTTGACCTCCAGCTTGCAGATGCAAAGGTTCGATGTATTAGAGAAGAGACCGAGCTGTAAAACGCAGAGATGGATATTGGGCTCCTCTCAATATATGCTGAATTAGAAAGCAATAGGGCGTTTCAGAGGGGGGGAAATTGAATTAAAAATATACACAGAGCGGGGGGAACTGAATGCAAGGTTCACTACAGACTCTCCAAGCCACCTGGCAAGAAGGGGAAATATTTAAGCATGTCCACTCCAAATAAACAAAAGCATAGTTTGGAGTTTATATCCTATCATAAGCTACTTTGGTGATCATCCCTGAAGGGATGGCAGCCAGGCATAGAAGCACTATATAAAAACATTACAGATTCATTTTTTAAAAAAAGAAAATCCAACAAGATTAAGGACAGAGGAATCTGATCAATGCTTTGCACAGGTTCCTAGTGGAAGAGGATCATTTCAGAATGCATAAGTAGCTTACACAATTTCTGGCCCAGAACAGAATTATGGCCACTCAAAACAGTTTCTAAAGCAGGTGGGGAGGCTGGTAAAAAAAATAGTTTAAATCTACTGGAGATTAATAGTTAAAGTAAACAAACAAACAGGGCATCTGAGGCAGTGTATCTTTGAGCATCAGCCCCTAAGTGCAAACAAAGGAGATAGTAGAATCACAGAATCACACACAGAATCACAGAATTGTTGAGTTGGAAGGAACCCTGGCGATCATCTAGTCCAGCCCCCTGCAATGCAGGAATATACAGCTGCCCCATTCAAGGATCAAACCTGTGACCTTGCCGTTACAAGCACCACACGCTAACCAATTGAGCCAGCTATTCAGGCACTATTGTTGTCTCCTCTCTGCACCCTGCAATAATTCTCCACAATTCCCAAGTTTCCACTCTTTTTCTAACTATTGCCTGGACTTGAATTCTGTGATTCCTGCACTACAGTGGGTTGAACTAGATGACCCTTAGGGTCCTTTCCAAAGCTGCGAATCTATGATTCTATGAAATAAAATTAGTGCCCTGGCTTGCATGATACAATTGTTGTTGTTTAGTCATTTAGTCGTGTCCGACTCTTCTTGACCCCATGGACCAGAGCATGCCGGGCACTTCTGTCTTCCACTGCCTCCAGCAGTTTGGTCAAACTCATGCGGGTAGCTTCAAGAACACTGTCTAACCATCTCGTCCTTTGTTGTCCCCTTCTCCTTGTGCCCTCAATCTTTCCCAACATCAGGGTCTTTTCCAGGGAGTCTTCTCTTCACATGAGGTGGCCAAAGTATTGGAGCCTCAGCTTCAGGATCTGTCCTTCCAGTGAGCATTCAGGGCTGATTTCCTTCAGAATGGATAGGTTTGATCTTCTTGCAGTCCATGGGACTTTCAAGAGTCTCTTCCAGCACCATAATTCAAAAGCATCAACCTTCTTTATGGTCCAGCTCTCACTTCCATACACCACTACTGGGAAAACCATAGCTTTAACTATACGGACCTTTGTCGGCAAGGTGATGTCTCTGCTTTTTAAGATGCTGTCTAGGTTTGTCACTGCTTTTCTCCCAAGAAGCAGGCATCTTTTAATTTCGTGACTGCTGTCACCATCTGCAGTGATCATGGAACCCAAGAAAGTAAAATCTCTCACTGCCTCCATTTCTTCCCCTTCTACTTGCCAGGAGGTGATGGAACCAGTGGCCATGGTCTTAGTTTTTTTTGACGTTGAGCTTCAGACCATATTTTGCACTCTCCTCTTTCACCCTCATTAAAAGGTTCTTTAATTCCTCCTCACTTTCTGCCATCATGGTTGTGTCACCTGCATATCTGAGGTTGCTGATATTTCTTCCGGCAATCTTAATTCCAGTTTGGGATTCATCCAGCCCAGCCTTTTGCATTATGAATTCTGCATATAAGTTAAATAAGCAGGGAGACAATATGCAGCCTTGTCGTACTCCTTTCCCAATTTTGAACCAATCAGTTATTTCATATCCACTTCTAACTGTAGCTTCTTGTCCCATATAGAGATTTCTCAGGAGACAGATAAGGTGATCAGGCACTCCCATTTCTTTAAGAACATAGGGCTTAATGTGAAGCATACTGACTGGTGGGTAATATATATTGGGTTGAAAACACATGTTCAGTTTAGAAGGACACATAAATGAGGACTGTTGAAGGGATCCCAAAGAGGGAGCCTTTTCAGCAGCAGTGCCCCAGCAGAGAAATGTCTTCCCCAGAGAGACTCGCCTGGCATCTACTTTAATATTGAAAACCTTTGCAAATTTCCCCAGCCTTTTTCATCTGTTTCAGACTTCAGCTGCCTTTCTTCACTGTGACTGCTGTTATGCAAACGTATGCTGTTGTTTGAATTTCAAGTTGTTTTTATTTCCTGCGACGAGCCACCCTGAGAACTTTTGTTCTGTGCCCTATGAAAAAACAGCAACACTGGAATTTAAACAAACAAGGGGGACAATTATCGTGCTCGCCCTACGCTTATGACCGTTCTTGTTTCATGCTTTAAATCTGCAACATTCCATCGATTTGGGTATTTTAGGGAAAGGGCCTTGGTGCTGCAATCCTGTGCACTTACTCAAGAGGAAGGCCCACTGAACCCAGTGAGAAGCATCTACCCAGAAGTAAGGAGGCAGAGGATTGCAAACCAAGTGATTAGCTGCTTTGAATATAACGGGAAATGGATTAAATCACCTGGTACCTTCCTGGAGACTACAATATCCATCAACCTCACCCAGCACAGGCTTATAGGAGTTGTAGTCCAAAACATCTGAAAGGCATCAGATGAAAAAAAAATAGTAGCATCTTTTTTTGCCAGGGTGCTGTGGACAAAGGACCAAACTTATTTGTTTTATATAAGCCTAGATATTTAACTCTGGGGAAAGTGTTGATTCTGCTAGCAGTTCTCAGCATGCTGTTCTCTTTTCCAAAGAAAAGGAAAACACAGAAATACCCTTTCAACTGCAAGAATTTTTATTTTATTTTTTTAAAGAAGAGTTTTGTCCTTGGCATATGGTTGATGAAAACAAAACCAATGTTGCAGGGAACAGCTCAGGCAGAAAACCATTTTGAATTAATTGTTAACAGGAAACTGCCAGGTTGACATAACTGGTTCCCAGTCTACAAACCCCCAAGAGAATCCATACAGGATCTGTTAAGTCACTTTTTCCACTCTGAGCAAGGGGGGCTAGGGAAAACATTCACGGAAACCACTTTTTTAGGAGCCGAAACGTTTTATCTCGTAAGATGTGTGATGCAAAAGAAAGGAGGTTGAAATTTCGTGCCAGCTTGGCTGTGAGTAAGTGTCACTGAACTCAAAGGGACTTACTTGTGTAAAGGTAAAGGTAAAGGGACCCCTGACCATTAGGTCCAGTCGTGACCGACTCTGGGGTTGCGGCGCTCATCTCGCTTTACTGGCCGAGGGAGCCGACGTACAGCTTCTGGGTCATGTGGCCAGCATGACTAAGCCGCTTCTGGCAAACCAGAGCAGCACACGGAAACGCTGTTTGCCTTCCTGCCAGAGCGGTACCTATTTATCTACTTGCACTTTGACATGCTTTCGAACTGCTAGGTTGGCAGGAGCAGGGACCGAACAACAGGAGCTCACCCCGTCACGGGGATTCGAACCGCCGACCTTCTGATCAGCAAGTCCTAGGCTCTGTGGTTTAACCCACAGCGCCAGCCGCATCCCTACTTACTTGTGTACTGACCTGCGAAAGTATGCACTGTACACCTCTTATAAAGCAGAAATGGAAAAGTCCAGATGGCAAATATTCATAACTTAAACCCTTGATTAAAGTTTCCCTGGCTGGGCATCCCTAGATGACCCTTGGGGTCCATAGCTGTCAACATTTCCCTTTTCTTGCAAGGAATCCTATTCCGAATAAGGCAATTTCCCTTAAAACATAGTTGACAGCTATGTTGGGGTCCCTTCTAATTCTACAAATCTATGATTCTACTGCAGCAGTCGTGGGACATTAGCCAGAGAATACTCACTGCATCATTACTTAAGTTACTTAAATCCAGTGGGTCTACTACAACCCTGTATTCTGAACTTTTAAATGGATTTATGTTTATGCTTTTAAATTTACGTTGGTTGGAGACATTTTAGGTAACAAGCGACTGGTAAGTTTAATAAGCATCAAATATACCCCACATAAACAAACAAAAATAAAAACACCTGATTCCTAGGCTGCCTTACAAATGAGAAAGGATCAGAAATAGCTGCAGCAGATCACGTCTCTGTGAAGAGTGGACACCAGCCACAGTTCAGCGACACAAAGGTTGAAAGAACCATCTTGCCTGAAGCTTATTATGGAAGTGTAGAAGAAACACAAGAACCATCTCTTTCACAAGGAAAAGGTTGCACCATCAACCTGCATTCTGAATTGCCTTCTCCCGCCAGTTTAATCATTTACTTTTAAATTTATTCTTAGTGGAGGTATGGAACTCATTTGGAACTTTCACCCTAGTTGCAGATTAAAAGCATCTTAACTGAAAATGGTCCTCCCTAGCCTCGATTCTTAGAAATATTTCTGTGCAGAATGTGGGACACTTCTGTACAAAGAAGAAGCAGCATTTTTTGGAAGGAGGAATAAATGTGCAGCTTGGAAGCCCACACTCCACAAGGTGTTATGTCTCTGGAGGAGAGAGAAGGCACACTTGCTCACTTGCCCAACATGGAAGGACTCACAAGCCCAGTAGACTTAAGACTGCAAATTGGCTTCAAGGGATTTCAAAATAGCATACTTGGTTCTTTGCAAACATCTCAGGGGTCCTATGCAGCACCCATGTGAAATGTCCCTATACCCAACACAAAATCCAAGGGAACGGCCAAGCTGTTTCCTTGCATCGACAAAGTGGTTTCCCGTAGATTTAATGGAATTTCTCAAGCTTTGGCCGAGAGGCAGCAAAACAACAAAACTGAACATGAAACTTCCTTGCGCAGAGGGCTGTCAAAGTAAACAAATTCCAAAGCACCGTGAGAAATATGTGCTTCTTCCGAGCTTACATTTCAGGGCATTTTCAACAGTAACAAGTGCGTAATTTTCAGATGTGAACTTAAACAATTACACACGCAGAATCCTTCGCTGTTACTTTAGAGCGGAGGGAAACATCGAAAAGGGAAGCACAGTGAGAGTTAGAATGGGAAAAGAGAAGGGAAAATGCAAAAGCCCAAAGCCCACCCCCATCCCTAACCGCTGAAACTGGTTTAGGTGCAAGAGTGGGGAACCTTGTTCATCCCAAGGGCCACATTCACTTCTGGGGAGCTTTCTGGGGGCCAAATGCCAATGGTGGGTGGGCGGAGCAATCGTAACGTTGTAAGATAATACACCCTTACCTTTGTACATCAGGCTAGTTCCTACAGTCTTCCTGTTGGAGATTCCTGCATTGCAGGGGGTTGGACTAGAGAACCCTAGGGGTCCCTTCCAACTTTACAATTCTGCAATTCATCCAGGCAAACATTACGAGACACATTCCAGCCCGGCAAAAACACTTGGTGTGGTCAATGCGAACAGCCCTAAATCTAGGGAGGGCGGGTGGGTGATCCAATGCGTGCAGCGAAAAGAGGAAGCTCAACACTGCGTGCAGGGAATAAATAGCCCCTCATCAGTCAATCATAAAACTGCTACACCAATTTCCCCCCAACGACTGAGGGGTGCCCAATCAGAAACATCTATACTAACCCGCCCAGCAACAGAGGTTGCCCCCACCACAACACGTGCTCTCCATGAAGGAGAACCATAGCTGTCAACTTACAGATTTGAAAATAAGGGACCAGCAGCCTTGAAAATAAGGGATCAGCAGCCAAAATAAGGGATCAACAATTACTTTGATAAAATACATATTTTGTTGCGTGCAAATGGCTTTAGATACCTATTAGGTCCATAAATTACCATAGAGCATATATTCAACACAAAAAAAACAGCAACAATTTGTTGTTGACAAAGCACAGCTGGACACAGAAAGGGCCCCGTTACCTTCAGTAGCTTATTTAAGGGACATCATCAATAAGGGACAGCAGCGGGACATGGCGCTGGGATAAGGGACTGTCCCGCCAAATAAGGGACGCTTGACAGCTATGAGGAGAACCTGCTTTTCCAAACTTAGCCACCTTTTGGAAGCACCCAAACTGCTCCCACTGAAATCGATAGGAAGCGAGTCAAACTTTGACTAACTGGTCTCGACTGAAATCTGTGTGAAACGAAGACAACTCACTTAGTTACTAATAAATCAACGTAGAAGAAAGAAGCCAAGGGGAAACGTCATGCAAAAAGAGCAGTAACAATTATCTGAAATCAAAATAGTGTACACTCGTACCCTCTGAACTTACTCCTCTACAATTCTCACTATACCAGAAAGAAATATGCACTTGCCAAATCAGAATCACACTTCATGCATTGTGTGATGTGAGCTGCTAGTTTTTACAATGTCACAAGACTCCTCCATACTGTAAAGTACTAACTAGGTGAAAAGGACTACTATGATTGCAGGAAAAGGTGACTCAGGATTACTGCACAGCCTTTTAAATTATCTTTACTATCGCAACGGCAATCCTGCGCCAGAGGCTGTGTAAGAGGCCTTCAAGGAATTGAAGCGGAGACTTCGCATTGTTCAACTTGCCACTTGCTCTAACTGGGTTTTCCTTCTTCGTGAAAACGAGATTTTAAAAAGGCAATGTTGCCTGTTGCTGCGTTGAAGCAGAAAAAGATAACAAAATCACATGTCTAAAATCCCTTCTCCCCGCAGCATTCCTCCCAGAAAATGAACACCTGTGCAATTATCAGTATCTGTCATCAATAAAATTGCAAACACGCCGAAATATGAATAGGCCATTTCTTGTGGGGCGTCTGTACTTTCTCCTTTCACGATAAAATTAATTTGCGTACCTAAACTGTGAAATTTTAAAACTGATCCTGGCAAAGTGAAACTATTTGGAAAAGGTAAAGTAAAGGTATTCACATATATATTCACATGCAACCCTTGTTGTTGAACTTAATCTGTTCCAGGAGTCCATTCAATTCCCGGAACCGTTCAAAAACCAAGGCGCGGCTTCCGATTGGCTGCAGGAGCTTCCTGCACCAATCGGAAGATGCAGAAGCCGCGTCAGACGTTCAGCTTCCAAAAAAGTTCGCAAACCGGAACACTTACTTCCGGGTTTGCGGCATTCGGGAGCCGATTTGTTTGGGAGCCAAGCTGTTCGACATCCAAGGTACCACTGTATATAATTTAGCACTTCCTTTTATAGGGTTGCCATATTTCAAAAAGTAAAAACCAGGACACCCCAAAAGTTGTTGAGCTTTCTTTCTTTAGAAAGACCCCAAAATTGTTGACCTATTTTCAGGATAGCCTGGTAGCTGAGCTTTTTCTAAGACAAACCCCAAAGTTGTTGAGCTTCCAGAAATCCCCCCCAGACATCACTTCCGCCTTTGAAATCCTGAACGTATGGCAGCCCTACCTTTATATTTTTGCTGATTTCACCTGTGCAGGTCCAACAACCTCTTCCAGCATCATCAGAAAGGGCTAAGAGACAACCTGGTCAAAAATCACGCCAGTCAGCAATTGATGCTCTGATGGTGGTCAGACCCAGTACAGTGGTACCTCGGGTTAAGAACTTAGTTCGTTCCGGAAGTCCGTTCTTAACCTGAAACTGTTCTTAACCTGAAGCACCACTTTAGCTAATGGGGCCTCCCGCACCGCCGGAGCACGATTTCTGTTCTCATCCTGAAGTAAAGTTCTTAACCCGAGGTACTATTTCTGGGTTAGCGGAGTCTGTAACCTGAAGCATCCGTAACCCGAGGTACCACTGTATATGGAAGTTTCTTTGCATTACCACTCACTATTTTAGGTTTTATTATGTACGCTGCTTTGAGGTTTGTTTGTTTTTTGATTGAGCAGTTTATATATTTCCCTAAACAGAAACAAAACAGTTGCAAAATGCAAAAAGCAGCTAGCTTTGTTGCTGCCAAGTCCAGTCAAAGGCGGCAAAGTCGGGGTGTGTGTGTGCTTTTGTCACCGTCCTTCTAAAAGGGACCCAGAGATTCAATTTGCAGAAATTAAGTCAAGCGAGCCTTTTTCTTGCTAATGGCGTGTAAGTTTTGACAGCTCTTTCCTAAATTCATTATGAGCAGCGAGTGCTACTGAGATCAACATGGCATGTTCAAAATCCAGCCTTTTTGGAGCTATTTTCTCACAACAGAGGCAGTTGACATCTTAAGTGTAATATGGCAGAGAAATTTCAGACCAGAGGTGGATAGGTGGGTGGGAGGAAACTACTAGAATTATTCAGGCCATCTTTTTGCAAATGCAAACTATTTCTCGTGGCTTTTTAGGGATACACTCCTGGGCTGCATGCTTTATATAAAAAAAAATTCTGCATCTTGAATATGCGATAAAATGTTTTCAATGACTGTATTTTTATGCTTGTGGATTAAAAAACAAACAAAACACAAACTAGAACACTTCGGAATAACCTATCAAAATTGCTGTCCTTATACTAGATCCGATGTTGCAGTGTGATGAAACCTTTAGAATGTGATATTTATTTAATCCAACCCCTCAAGGCACAAAGTCTTATGAAAGCCACTTGCAAATATTTAACTCTTTGCAGGAAGCAAGAAGTGTTGTCACCTGATCCTAAAGACGTGGGGAGGAAGGGAAGGTTGTAATTTAGGCTGCAATCCTAATTGTACAGCCGGCGTCCAAAACTCCCATTCTTCTAGGCGCATTTTGCGACAGGGAATTTCAGAGCAGTTTCTAAGCTCTGGGCGCAGTATTGCGCCTAAGATTTCAGATTAAAAATGCAGAGTGGAAGAAAAGGAAGACCTTTTCCTGCCTCCCCACTTCCAGCTACTCTCTGAAGACTGGAGAAGAGACCCTCTTAAGAATATTAGGGGGGTGGGCAGGGGAAGGACTAGACCATGTGAAAAATGAACATATTTTAGCTGCAGTTCATTCATTTCCAGCTTTGTATTCATGTTATGAAAAAAAACGTGCCTGGACATTCTGTTGTTGCGTCCAAAATCTAGCCTTAAGGTGCCATTTAGCTCCTAGTTTTCACATCTCAGTTTCTGACACTGAGACAACTATCATTAAGTGGTATAAAGGTAAAGGTAAAGGGACCCCTGACCATTAGATCCAGTCGTGGCCGACTCTGGGGTTGCGGCACTCATCTCGCTTTATTGGCCGAGGGAGCTGGTGTACAGCTTCCAGGTCATGCGGCCAGCATAACTAAGCCGCTTCTGGTGAACCAGAGCAGCGCATGGAAACGCTGTTTACCTTCCCACCGGAGCAGTACCTATTTATCTACTTGAACTTTGACGTGCTTTTGAACTGCTAGGTTGGCAGGAGCAGGGACCAAGCAACAGGAGCTCACCCCGTCGCGGGGATTCGAACCGCCGACCTTCTGATCAGCAAGTCCTAGGCTCTGTGGTTTAACCCACAGCGCCACCCGCGTCCCCATTAAGTGGTATATAAACTGTCTAAATAAAGACATAACTATCTTAAAATAAGAAGCTATCTATAGCATATTCCCCCTGGATAGCTCAGTTGATAGAGCATGAGGCGGTTAACTCCAGGGTCGTGGGTTCGAGTCCCAATGATTCCTGCATTGCAAGTGGTTGGACTAGATGATCCTTGCAGTCCCTTCCAACTCTACAATACTATACTTCTATTGTTCTTTGACCTCAACTACTCAGACTCTTGCTATTTTGCTGGCATTAAGCAATCAATCACCTCCTTTTATAAAATAAAAAAAGGAAAAACTTCAGTTGAATATTTGGCATACAATGCTTTGAGTTCCTACAAATTTCCCCGGAAATATCTACAACAGCAAGGCATGCAGCAACCCATTCCCCTTCACTCACTTACTGAGGAGTTCAGCTTGAGAAACTACAACATATTTGGTGCTCTTGAATTCCTTCCTCCCCCGCACCCCCCAAAAGAGAACTTCGTATAGCAAGGAAACCATAGAGAAAAATGCACTGGGAAGTGTAGGATAACAACTGCTGAACGCAAAGTCATCTCACCCACTTGCAAACAAATCAGGATGAACGCAAAGGCCGCATAACCTTCCTGCTAACTCTGTGCAAACAAATGAATGCTCAATAAACAGCTAAGGCGCAAACTTTGTGCAAACAATTCGGGAGGAATGCTCAATCAACAGGTCACTTGGAAGCGTCCTTAGTCAGGTTAGGGCCCAACAAGATGTGATGTTAAATGTCAACTTGGCGCTCTCTTGGACTACAACTCCCAGCTTCCATGACCGCTAGTCATGCCTGCTGGGAGTTGTAGTTCAACAGCACCTGCAGGGCTGCTGCAGGTTAGCGATCCTTGGGTTAAGACAGTGGCATCTGCCCAGGCATTTCATTTGATCTGCCCAATTACAGTGGTACCTCGGGTTACATACGCTTCAGGTTACAGACTCTGCTAACTCAGAAATAGTGCTTCAGGTTAAGAACTTTGCTTCAGGATAAGAAAAGAAATCGTGCTCCGGCGGCGCGGTGGCAGCAGGAGGCCTCATTAGCTAAAGTGGTGCTTCAGGTTAAGAACAGACCTCCGGAACGAATTACCGGTAAGCACTTAACCCGAGGTACCACTGTATTTTGCATTATTCTTGCCTCTCATTTTTACTGTCATGTGAAGAGTTTTCCGCTGCTTTTGTTATACCGTATTTTTATTGCTGTGCTCGCCATTGATGAAAGCGTAGGTTAGATTTTTCATTAAAAAAAGTAAAACACAACATTAACAACATGCAAGTTGTTGTTTTTTAAAAAAAAACTGCAAATAGCATCAGCTGGGAGGAGCTGATAATTACTGAGATATCAGTGGGTGGGTGGGCGGAGAAGTGAGTTTAACACTTTCCTCCCCATATGTGGTCTTGAGGAAAATTCCTCCTATGGAAGTGCTGTTTGCATTGGGAAGAAAACTTCCTATTGGCACCTATGAGAGAATTTACTCCCCAAAGCTTATTAATAGTTTCAGAACTGGGTTTTTCCAGCAGACCGCAACAGGGGTTGAAAGGGTTAAATTCCCTCTCTCCTGCTTGCTGCCCTCCCAGTAATTATCACATTTAATGCTAGTTTGTCCCTTCAAGATAGCAGTTGGAGAGGAGACAAAGCATAAACATTTAGCAAGAATGACCTCAGTGGCAGGGGTTGCAATCATTACCTCCAGCAACAGGGTTAGGCAAGGGTTAAAAACAGAGCTTCCTGTTCTTTTCCCAGCTTCCTAAATATATTTCTGGGGGAGAATTATGGGAAGTCAACTTACACCAAAAAGAAGAGACGCAGCCAGAATCGAATTCAAGGAACGGAACACAGAAGCAATGTAACAACGATCCTTTCACATCATGGCATGCGCTCTGGTTCACAATTCCAGATACCCGCTCATTCTATAAGGAGCATGAGACTCTGAATCTCAGGGTTGTGGGTTCAAGCCCCACTTTGGGCAAAAAGATTCCTGCATTGTAGGGGGTTGGACTAGATGACCATTGTGGTCCCTTCCAACTATACAATTCTATGATGTATGAAACCATCGGGGGGGGGGGATATAGGTACCACTGTCTAAGCCTGGCAGAAGGGCAACAATACAGTGAAATACAGTGGTACCTCGGGTTACATACGCTTCAGGTTACAGACTCCGCTAACCCAGAAATAGTACCTCTGGTTAAGAACTTTGCTTCAGGATGAGAACAGAAATCGTGCTCTGCCAGCGCGGCAGCAGCGGGAGGCCCCATTAGCTAAAGCGCTTCAGGTTAAGAACAGTTTCAGGTTAAGAACGGACCTTCGGAACGAATTAAGTACTTAACCCGAGGTACCACTGTAGTGGCCCCACCCTCTCCGGTTCTGCTACCACCACGTCCCCAGGACCCCCCCCCCTTTTTGTGGGGACTTACACCATCCTTGGCTCAACTGGCTGAGCCCTGGATGAGGAAGTTGTGCCAGCATATATTGAGCTAAGCCGGGTCTGGAGACTTAACGCCACAGGCTGAGTCAGGAATTAAATAGCCGAGCCAAAGATCTGCTGCATGCAACCTAAGTTGCTCATCATCCCAGAGGATCTCGCCATAACACTGCCCTCTCACAGACAAGAGGCATCACCCAATTCAATGGGAGTGTGTCTAAGAATATGTGTCACAGAACCATGCAGGATCAAACACACCCCTGTAAAAATAATAACACAAACATCTGATGCAGAAAGTGGATGAACTTCATTTGCCAACTGCTTTTACAGTAAGTTTAGGAGGAGTATTTTGCAAGTTTCGACCAGCGGTTTTTAGTTTTTACACATTTATTCTGCCTGGTTCTGTTTTTTAAATTGGTTTCCACCCTTCCCATTCATTCCGTGTTCTTTCTATAACAGCGATATACCAGAAGAGAGAGACAATACTTACTTAAAGCGACTTGCAAAAAATTAGTATCTTGGACACCGCTTTGACTAACTGCATGGAAAAGGAATGAAGGCTGCAATGCTAACACACACTTGCTAGGGAGTAAGCCCCATTGACCACAGTGCAGTCTAGGTAAAGGTAAAGGCACCCCTGACCATTAGGTCCAGTCGTGGCCAACTCTGGGGTTGCGGCGCTCATCTCACTTTATTGACCGAGGGAGCCAGCGTACAGCTTCCAGGTCGTGTGGCCAGCATGACTAAACCGCTTCTGGTGAACCAGAGCAGTGCACGGAAACACCATTTACCTTCCCACCGGAGTGGTACCTATTTATCTACTTGCAGTGGCGTGCTTTCAAACTGCTAGGTTGGCAGGAGCAGGGACTGAACAATGGGAGCTCACCCCATCATGGGGATTTGAACCGCCAACCTTCTGATCGGCAAGTCCTAGGTTCTGTGGTTTAACCCACAGCGCCACCCGGGTCCCTACAGTGCAGCCTACTTCTGAGTAACCCCACTGGTCAACTACAGACCCACAGGCGTCTACCTGAAAGGAAGCTCCATTTAATGGGTTGGGCTTCTGAGAAAACATGCAAAGATCCAGCTGCAAGAGTTTTGAGATTGTAAACTCCTAGGAGGCAGGGACCCATCATTGTTGTTTTGACTCTGTACAGCAACTCTGAATGAGACGAGTATAATCATTAGGCTATCAAAAACGAATTAGGAAGGAAAGTTTGAAGCAGAGGAAAAAATATGTCACTGGATATGTCTCACACTCATAGGAGCATAGGAAGCTGCCTTCCACTGAATCAAACCATTAATTCATCTAGTTTAATGTTGTCTACACTGACTGGCAGCTTCAGGCAGGGGTATCTCCCAGCACTACCTGGAGCTACCCCAAATCGAACCCAACAGGCTATCCATGCAAAAGCAAAATACTTTGCTGCAGAACTATGACCCTTCTTCCTCAATCTGCCTCACACTAAGACCATTGCTCCATCTAGTTCAATGTTGTCTACACTGACCAGCAGCAGCTCTCCAGAGTTTAAGGCTGGGGAATGTCCCATCTAAACATGGAGATGTCCCAAAGGTAAAATTTTATTGTTATACTATTTTAAGAGTTAAGATTGGGATTAAAAAAAGAGGGAGAGAAATTGCTGGACAAACAATTTGAACTGGAATACAAAAGAGGGAGGTACGAGGAGGTCCAGAAAATAAGTAAATTTAAAGGTGGAGATGAAAAGATGATATTGTTTTTAACTGTTCTACTTTCTTTTTTGTCTTATGTTTTCTTGTTTCTTTATTTCTTTATTTCTTTATTTCTTTTTTCTTTTAGATTATGTATTGTATATTTTGAATTGTGTATTTCTTTTTTATGTTTTATGCTTAATCTTTTAATGAAACTTTAATAAATATCATTTAAAAAAAAACAAAGAAAAAAATAAACATGGAGATGTCCCAGACCGAACCTGACACATTACCCACACAAAGCAAAACCCTCTGCTACTGAATTATGACACTTCTCCTAAAGCTGTTTTCTACTAAGCTCGACCATTGGCCCATCTGCCAGCAGATCCAGTGTGGTGTAGTGGTTCTGTAGACTGTTAGACTAGGAGCTGGGTTCAAATCCCCACTCAGCCATAAAACACACTGGGAGCCAGTTGCTGCCTTTCAGCCCAACCTACCTCACAGGGCAGTTGTGGGGATTAAAGGAGGAGGGGAGAACTATGCATGCCACCTTGAACTCCTTAGAGGGAAAGGTGGATTATAAATCCAATAGATGACCTTCTCTATGTCCCCAGTCCTGGCAGGTTCGGAGGGTGACAACACAAGAACGGGGCCTTTTCTGTGGTGGCTCCCCATCTGTGGAATGCTCTCTCTCTCTTTACATATTTTATCCCCCACCTTGCAAAAACGCTCCTCTTTACCCAGGCCTTTGAGCATTAAATAATCTAAGGCCTTTTATAGCTGTGGAGGCAGGGATTGTTATTATGATTATTTTACTATCATGCTATTTATTTATTACGCTTTTAATGTTTTTATTATTATGCTCTGTAAAATGTGTTCTTAACGCTGTGCAACGCCCTGAGATCTTTTGATAAAGGGAGGTATATAAAGTAATTAAATAACAATAAATAAATAAATAAATAAGGGTCAATAAACGGACCGGCAGCGGCTCTCCATTCTCACAAGAAGGGGGACACACATACGCACACCTGGAGATGCCACCAGCAGGACCTTCTACACGCCGAGCAGTTGCCCTGGCCCGGAGCTACGCCCCTTCCCCACCAAGCACGTACGTGTCCCAGTCCCGGGACGACGGCGCCGCGAGAGAACTTTTTCGCCTTCCGACAGGGGCGCGCTTTCGCCGGATCCATTCAAACAAAAGAACAGTTCTTCTTCCCCGCCCCCTGCGCGCAAGGGGGATCGCGCCACCGCCGGGCATTTCCCGTCCAAACCCCGTCCGCACCCGCTACCCCCGCACTTTACCCCGCGGTTACTTACTCCGGAGCGCCCCGATGAGCAAGCTGCCGTCCTTGATGAGCTCCTTGATGAACTTGTTGGTCCTCTCCAGCTCCACCTCGTGACATTTCAGCCTCTCGCGAAAATCCGGGCTATCCAAATACGAGTCGCTGAACTCCAGGGTGGGCAGCCCCATGGCACCGGCAGAGAGGGCGAGGAGGAGGAGGGAGAAGAAGAAACGCCGGGCCGAAGCGTCGGGGGGACGTCGGCGAAGCCCGCGGGCGCCGGGGTGCGGGGTCTCGCCGCCCGCTCTCCAGCCCAAGCCGCGCGCAAAAATGGGACTGTCAGCTGGTTACATGGCGCAGCCCGAGGCGCATCGCTGGAGCCACGGCGCGGCGATGGCTGCGTTCCGCTGCTGCTGCCGCCGCACTCCTCTTCCGGCAGATCCGGGCTTTGCCGTCTTCCCCGCCAGCCCCGCGGCGCTTAACCCTTCTCTGAGGCTCCCTCGGCCGGGCCAAGGAAACTCTCCTCCCAGGTCAAGGGAGTGAGACGCGCCGCAGGGGGGAGACCGAGAGGAGAGCGTTCTGGGTTCGCGCGTCTGGCCCAATCAGGACGCGCGGCCGCCACCCGCCCACCCCCTCCCGCGCCCACGGGGCCACGCCCCCGCGGGATCCTGCTCAAGACTTGGGGAAAGTTCTTTTGGGAAGGCCATCCCAACGTGAGAGCCTCCGTACCTCCAAAAAGGGAAGGGGAAAAGAAAAAGGGGGGAAAGCATTTGTTTTTCATTTGCGATAGGTTTCAAACGATGCTGTTCTAGGTCATAATGGGTTACAGTCGACCAACTCTGGCGCTATATGTGTACTGCATGCTTTATATATAACTTTTTGAAAACTCAGCAGTCCATCAAAATGAAGAGCTTCCCTATCTCCAGAAAAGTAAAATAGAAGCGTATTATTTTATATTTGCAATAGGTTTCAATGATACTGTTATATATGTCATAATGGTTTGCAGTGCATGCTTTTTAGAATCACGGAATTGTAGCGTTGGAAAGGACCACAAAGGTCATCTAATCCAACCCGCTACAAATACAGTGGTACCTCGCATTACATACGCTTCAGGTTACAGACTCTGCTAACCCCAAAATAGTGCTTCAGGTTAAGAACTTTGCTTCAGGATGAGAACAGAAATCGTGCTCCGGCAGCGCGGCAGCAGCGGGAGGCCCCATTAGCTAAAGTGGTGCTTCAGGTTAAGAACAGTTTCAGGTTAAGTACGGACCTCCGGAACGAATTAAGTACTTAACCCGAGGTACCACTGTACGAGAATCTTTTGCCAAAGGTGGGGCTCAAACCTACGACTCTCATGTTCTCCCGACTGAGCTATAAAGCTGGGCGTGTGGGTGCGTGCACACACTCTCTCTGTGTGTTTATATTTGAAAATGGAGCCATTAGTCAGAAATTAGTGCTTCCCTCTAAATTTATAGAAGAAAATAGTTTTTATTTTATCTTTGTGATAAAATGGTGCTGTTATAGGTTATAGTGGGCTGCATATTTCTCTAGCATGTGTATTGGGTATTCTTTAAAAAAATATACATACAATATATTAT